ATTCTATTCTCCAGTAATACATTATAAACATAGGATGATGTTTGGACTATTTTTCATTAGAATGCCAACATAGCAAAGAGAGCAACAATTTTCAGCTCCCATGCTTCTTAGCAGTTTATTGAAGACAGTCCAGAATTTCATTCAGGAACTCACCTGAGTCTTAGGGTAAGATCTGTGTTTTCCCCTAACTTCCTCACTAACATAGGTCAACCATAACTTCCTGGTTGCAGGAATGGATGGCATTTTCCTCTTCCCACTTCCAGTCCATTTTTCCCCAGCTTTACTTCAAAGCTGCCGTTTTTTTCCATTTAGCTGTCTTCAGCTCTTCAGAGTAGACGGTCTCCAATGCTCAGTTCTGATTGGCTCCAGCACCTCCAGTAGGGCTAGTCAACATGTGGGCATCCTTTTTGTGCTGGGCTGGTATGTTTCCTATAGTTAAAATAAACTTGCAGGTTTCCAAGATGCACTATTAAGTGAATAACCTGTTCTCAGACTTAGAAGACCATACGTCATTCACTTATTATTTCCCTGCGCTCATGCTTTCTGTTTCTGCTCAGGTGGGGTGAAGTAGCTTGCTCTCCTATGCCATACTCACAGTACCACAAAGCTTCCCTTTATCTTCTCAAACATTTTTAGATCACAACAGACTTCCTGCTTTGTTTCTATGAGGTTTTTCTTTGCTAGAAAGTTTTCATGAACTTACAGAAGCACCAAAGAACAACCTGTTCCCTAATGCTTTGATTATTGTATTAACTAGGATGATATATTAGGAAAAAGGGAGGGAGTCTGTGTTGGTGTCAAAGGAGATAAATGTTGGAAAGGGCAGTGAATGTATCCATGTGTGCAAATAACTGGGAAAGCAAAGTAAACAACGGGGACTAGTCAGAAAAGAACAATCCCTAAAATGGAAAAGATGTACACTAGTAGAGCAGTCCACACAGAAGCCAATCAATTAGGGTTGCTTTCCTGAATGAATAAGACAGATCAAAGAGCAAGGGAAACAACCAATACTACGTAGTATTGTGGTGCTTGGACTCAGCATAACCCAACTGCAATCTGCACTGGAAGTTCAAAATTCTGAAGTAGATTTAAGATGCAGCAGGGGAGGCCAGCAGCTGAGGCTGCAGTGCAGAATTGTCCTTAAAGCAGTGTTTCCTCCTGCATCATCTGCTGGCCCCTGTCCTTGAGGCCTAGCCAATATTACTTCTGAGCTTGGTGTCTTCTATGTTAAGATTGCCAAACCTGGATTCCCCAAAGTATATGTGGGTTTCAAATGCTGCTGAATGGTAGCCTTCAAATTAAATGTAGACAAAATAATCCAGTTGTCTGTAATTCATGGAATGCTTTTTATCATATCCTGACGTTGTTCCCTTTTAGTATGTGATGTGATTCACGATCCAAATGCAATCTTCAGCCTGACAGGGTTTATGCAGCCTTCACCATGCATACATTAAATGCAGAATGCTTGAGCATCAAACTCCATCAACTCCTATGATCATTATTTGTATCTCTCCATTGTTCTTCTTAGATAATAGGCCATTAAGTTTGCATGCTCAATTTATTGAGGGCATGTGATAGGCATGTACCAGCTGATAATATGACATGTAATCACAACATTTAGGAAGTTTGTTATTTATTTATTAAATTTATATGGCTTCTCATTTCATTTGCATAATTAGGCAAGTAACACTTAAAATCAAAATAAGTTAATAAAAAAAACAGCCAAATTTAAAAACCACCAAAATAATATAATATAGCAGCTGAAAAACTCAGTTAACACAACCAAGATCAAGAAATAAATTCACATAAACTATCATAGAGCAGGGCTTGATGGCAAATCCCAGGTTTTTAATATGTTGTAAAAGGATAGGTCAGGAAAAAAAATCTAATTTCTGGGGGAATAATATCATAAAGGGCAGGTCCCCGGGCAGAAAGCTCTCTTCCTAGATCCATGATGGCAAACCTATGGCATGTGTGCCAGAGGTGGCATGCAGTGCCCTTTCTGTGAGCGTGCGCCATCACCAGCTGCTCTTCCAGGTTCCATCCCATGCATGTGCACTGACCAGCTGCTCTCTTTCAGGTTCCAGCACCCGCATGCACACTCCAGTTTTGGCACACAGGGCCGAAAAGGTTAGCCATCACTGTCTTAGTCCCTGCCAGATAGCACTCTCTTAAAGAAGGGACCTAGAGCATACCTTTCCTGTCAGATCTGACAGGATAGGTAGACATTATTGGGGAAAGACAGTCCCACAGGTAGCCAAGTCCCAAGCCATGATGACTTTAAAGGTATCCACCAGCACCATTAATTGTACCTGGAAATATACCGAAGCCAATTTAGCTTCAGCAGTCGCATGTGCTAAGCCACTGGTACTCATAGCTGCCTCTGCCATCGCGTTTGTACCCGCTGAAGTCTTCAAATGTAGGGCACATTACAGGAAGACAAACAGTGCCATATTGTGGCCTGAATTCACTAATTTGGTATAATGGATATGGCGTTGGGCTAGAATTGAAGTTGCTCAGCCATGAAATCTCACTGTTCTCATAGGGTTATTGTGGTGGGGAATGATGCCAAATGCCACCTTGAGTCTAAGTCATAAAAGTAATTCAATACAACATACAGTAATTGAATTATAGTTGTACCCCTTCTCTAAATGCCCTTGATGCTATAAAAGTACATGATGTTATTACAGATTGGATTTATCCACAAAGGATCAATATTTATTATTTCATCTTACTGATTTTGCTTGGAACCACACGTTATTGACTATGCATTGTAAGATGGCTTACAAATAGGTTGAAGTGAAATCAATTTCAACATATACATGTGCTTAAGACCTTTAATGGACTTTTTTATTGTAATTCGTTTAAAATAGTCTGACATAGTAAAGTCAAAAGTATGACATTTAAAGATTTCTTATGCACCAGAATATTTCTACTGCATTGTATGAGTGCATTGTTTTGTCAGCTACTTACTTATCAGTATATTAATAAATAATACACTTGGGTGGGCAAAAGTGTGGGGGATATCAGTCAGTGGTGGGATTCAAATTTTTTTAATACTGGTTCTGTGGGTATGGCTTGGTGGACATGGCAGCAGAAGGATACTGTAAAATCTCCATTCTCACCCTACTCCAGGGGAAGGTTACTGCAAGATTCCCTCCCGATCAGCTGGGACTCGGGAGGCAGAGAATAGATGGGGTCTGGGCCAGTCGGGTGGTATTTTCCAGTTCTCCAAACTACTCAATATTTCTGCTACCGGTTCTCCAGAACTGGTCAGAACCTGTGAATACCACCTCTGATATCAGTAATATATTGCACATATAACTAAGGGCATCAGCAGCTCATTAGCTGTTTCCATCCTCCTTAGTCTCTGTAGTAGTTTTAGCAATGCTTATAACCAGCTGAAAAATCACAATCCAGCTTCTCAGGAAACTCTCTGATCATTTCCCAAATTTCAGTTGGAATTACACAACTTGAAAAAGTTGAATGGAATTTATCCAAGCCAAAACCTTTTATTCTTGCAGCTTCTCACTAAAGCACATAGTCATGCTGAATGACTAAAGAAAATGCTACACATTCACTTGTTGAAGAAATGTCCTTCTGGGTTCAGTTCCAAGTGCTGGGGGGAGAGACACTGGAAAGATGGAGGCCTCTCAGAAAGATTGTTTTAATGGTGGACAGGACCACATGGTTTGGGGTCCAGGGGAAAAAAAGTGATCAGGTGCTTCAAGATGTTGGGTGAAGAAGAAAAAGTGCAGTGATGCTGAAAGTCCCTGGTTTTATGCCCTCTCTGGCTTTGAACTTGAGCTTGTATTGTGATTGGTTGTCAGACTCCCATGGGGCCATGCAGGGGCAACTCTGTAGGCTGTGTTTTGAGTCCAATTTTGGTTGGGCATTGCTTCTTCCAAGGTGCCATGTGGTGAGATCTGTAGAGGGTTAATCCTACCTTTGTTATGTAGAATAGACTGGCCCAGGCCTTTAATGGTCCATTGACAAAGGTGGGGGCAGTTGAGTTTCTGCTTCTCTTTTTAAGGAAAATCTTCTGTAATTTTGACATATAGTTTTTGTTGTAGTCAATCCAATCCTTTCCCCATGAAAAAAACCAGATGTTTAATTTGAAAGTTTTCCTTAATCCAGCTGTGTTGCTTCTTGGCTGCCCTCTGGGGATAATCCAAATTTAGGTAGTGCACATCTGCTCCCTCATTAACCGTAGATCCCTCTAGTTTCAAGAGAATATGTTTCATACTCAATTTATTTTACCAATTGTGAGAAACTATTGGATTTGTGAAGATAGTTCAGCTTCAGGCTTCTCAGGGCTATTTATGAGGTTGATGCCCCACTTTAAAGAGAAATTCAACAAAGTTGAACACGTTTCTTCGTTCTTTTTTGCCACAGCCATTGTTTTCATAGTATTTCATAGTAAGGTTAATTTAATCAATTGGAAGGTCCCGTTTGCCCATTGCACTGAAACTTAGGATGAGAAGCAGTTCAAAAAAATCTTATTAATGTAATGATATACCACAACCTCAACAGCATTCCTGTTATTCTTATTCCTGTTATCTTGTAAATGAGTGAAAAACTAAGTAAATAAAAAAGATAAAAATATAATAAAGATTTAGAACTAGATGCAGGGTATCGATTGTTCTAACTTAACACGTGCTTTATGCTTTCGCGTCTACAAGTAAGTAAAAGAAGGAAATGTCCCAATTATTTTAAAAAATAAAACACTCCACACTCAGATTATTGAGTATCCCAACGTCTCCACAAGTCCACGCGCAACTGGCCAACAGGCGCTACCGCGCGTGGTAAAACGCCCTTTCGAGCCATCAATCAGCCCCAGATTGACACCCGCCTCCTCCAATCAAACAGATTTCCAGATGGCGGGAGGCGGGGCGAGCTTCGATTTCCCACTCCCGGCGGGCGAGGGCCAATCAGGGCAGCGGCGACAAAAAATCGGGGTCGAGTAATTCGCCGCTCCCGCTCTCCTCGGCTCCAGAGCTCCGCCCCGGTTGAATGGGGAGGACGCGAATGGACCTCGCGCGGTAGGCGAGCGCAGCCTGGTCGCTACGTGCGGCGCCCGGGGCAGGTGGAAGGAGGGACTGCGGGGCCACTGCGCCTTCCCCCCACGCGCTGGGTTGGTGCTCGGCCGGTGGCTGCGGTAAAAGCGCCGGAGAGAAACAGGAGGTTGGGCGGGATTCGCCCTGCCCGGCTGCAGCTCCCAGAAGTGCGGACCGTCGGAGGTCTCGAGGGTCGTTCTTGTGCTGCGACAGCGGCTGGCGGTGGAGCAGAGCAGCAGGTGAGGTCGGAGCTGACCGAGAAACGACTGTGCCGCACTGGGCTTTACAGGACACGGCGGAGTTCAGTGGTGACCCGGCTACAGCAAAAGGCGGACTGGGATTCCCACGACCCACCGAGCCTCTCCCAGACCTGACCCGCATTTTTTGGGAAACCCAAGCGTGAGGCTTAGTTTGACTCGATGTGTGTGCTCTTGCTAACTTCCTGGTTGGTTTGGCGCGCCATGGTGGTGGCTAAGTTAGCCACGGGTAAACGTGTAGCCTGGTGTCAAATGGGTCGTGCGAATGAGGCGTGGGTAGACGGCGGAGGGTTTAAAGGTGTGAGAAAATGTCTGGTTTCTTCAGCTAGTGGCATCGTTACATAAAGGAAGAGGCTCTGAAATAAAGGAGGCAGGAATGGGAGTTGTGAGTAGGGTGTCTCTCCTCTTCTTACACCAATTTGCTCTTTGGGGCGATTCTGGCAAGTCTTGAATAAATGATGCAAGATATGTTTTCACCCCTAAAATACACCTTTAGGAACAGGAGATGTAGTAAATAGATCCTGTTTTAAATTAATGCCAGTCTGTTCATAAGACATTTTATTCAGCGTTAGAGATATAGAATTGGGCTGAAATTCTTATTACTCAAATTCTTATTATGTTGCTTTCTATAGCGTATTAAGTATAATTTTTATACTTTTTAGCATGCTTTTATATTAAAGATAAAAATACAAGATAATGAAATTTAATAGTCAGCCATGGTATAATATTTGGTCTAATTTCCAACTAGAGTTGGGTTTGCAAACATGCTAAAACAAAGAGTGATTTTCTAATTTATGGCTCAGTGCAAATCAAGCCATGTGATATTTGTGATTCTTTTGTGTAGCCAAATCCAGGCTGATCAATTTACCATGTAACCCATGTCTTAGTTCATTTATGGTTTAGCATCTCCATACTACCACAGGAGCTAGATTACTGTGACTTGTTCAGGACCACAGAATTCTAAGATATCATGCATTTTATGGGAAATAGCTGTTTATTCCTGCAATACCTAAGCAGCCACAAGATAAGTGGATTAGTATTATTCCATATGGTTCTTTCCTGGGCAGCCTGTGTGATGTGTTTATATGGATGTACTCCCACAATTATTTATTAAGTTTATAGTGGTTTAACATGATCACATTAGTTTAATTATTGGTTGTACACTGTTCAGAGATACGTTCAGTGAGATGAGTGGCCCTATACGTATGCCAAGTAAAGCAAATGAGGGCAAGGGTGGAATTAACAACTTTCACTGTAATGGTATTTTTTCACCTGAAAACTATCTCTAATGCTGATACAGACAGTAATTATATCTTTATTTTGTAAGCATAGCAGTGCTTTGTACTACTAAAACCAAACACATTTTAGGCATAAGGTTATATAACTCCTGACAGACCAGAGACATATTTTCATAGGTGCCTGAATGATGGATAAGATATTGTTTCCAAGAGCATAGGACATTTTCAGATTTAATATTGATATTGTACCCTGTATTTCTCAAACAACTATGTTTATAATGTTCAGTTACGGGGTCAAATTCAGTTTTCATTGTTTGTATTTAATCTGCAGCACAGAAAGCAGATGAAGCAAAATAGTCACAAATCTGTATGTGGCAAAAAGGCTTCTCTCTCACCTAGAGAGGTTCTAAGGGTGGCTGCTATGATGTGTAACCTTAAGAATAAGACTATATCCCTTTTTTCCTGCATTATTTTAATGAGAACAGATTTGTGCATATCTAATTAGATAAAGGCCGAGAATGTTTAGTACTTAAGGTACACTTTAGTACTAAAGTTATTAATTTTTCAAATGTCTACTGTCCATAACTGTCCTATTTTAATTTTAGTATTTTGTTTAATATAATGCAGTGTTATCCTTCTTTCAAAAATACATTAACTTTAGCTTGCTGAATGTAATGTGTTTATAGGTATGAAGGATCCAAATCTACATTTTTATATAGCTGAATATAATTTTAATAATCCATCACATTACTTAGCAGTGAAAGGTTTTTCTTGTAAAATCAATCAGGCAATACTGGAAAATATACAGCATAGTAGAGTAGCTATATATTTTAAAAGTTGAGAAGAACAGGAGGAAAAACCTGTTTTAAGATCTGAGAAAACATTACACATTTTGAATCATAAAACTAAAAATAACAGCAGAGAAACTGCTCTTTTTTCACTTGCATTCGAAAAGGGGGCAAGGAAAAGAGTAAGTTTAAGTAAAAACTCCTTGTAAGATAGAACTGGAGATTTATAACTGGAGAATTTGAAGTAGATTTCATTATTATTAAGTTTATTTAGCAATGGATACAAATATTGCCTGAGATTACCTTGTTCTTAATGTAATTTGGGCAGAATTGTGCATCCGAATTCCCAAGAGCCAGATTATTGCTTCAACACATACACATTTTGTGGCTGGATGACATCAATATTGGACTTTCTGAAAGGGAAGCCCTGCTATCTTTTGATTTTCCATTAAGACAGACTTGTTGCTTTCTTTTGCTGTGAGGATCTTTACACTTTTTGGTATTGATTGGATCGTTCAGGTAACTGTTCAGGTAACAGGTATTTCTCAAGTTGTTATCCCTTGTTTACCAACCATTCAAAATGAGGTGGACTTGTGACTAATTTGTGAAATTGTAGCTATTGCAGGGTCCCGATGATCATATATGACCTTGTTCTGGGTGCTCTGGCACCCAGTTATGATTACGAAGATACAGTAAACTGCAATCTTGGAATTGCCATTTGCAACCTTTCTTGCCTGCTTCACAGAAGGAGATATTTTGCCCAAGTCGCTCCTGGTGCTTTTTTCTTTCATAACTTGTGACATTTCAAAGACTCCCACTGTAGAGTACAAGACCCCATGCCTGCTTCTGGCCCTCACTGACCTACTTAACATTTCTCAACACCCACCAATCATCTTTTTCCTTCATTGGCCTACCTGCATTGCCAGTGCCTGCCTGGGGCATCCTACCCTGCTCCTTATTTGGGACTCCAACCTCTTTCCGCTGAATGACCTGAAACATCCTGGGGTTACGATAGCAACAGATGTCCTGAATTGCCGTTGCTAAGGAATGTGGTCATGTGACATCATGCTTTACGACCACATCACTTAAAGATGGCAATTACAATCCCAATTTTTGTGAGTTCCATGGGATATATTTGGGCTTCTTCGATTTGGACTTAGATAGGATTACACGGCAGATTTAGTACTGCATCTGTTATCTGGCAAGAGTAGAGAATCTATTGATGTGATCTGTTGTGATCTCTGCCCTTCCATGGATTATGTTCTTGTCTTTTAAAACTTCGCTATATCTAGTTCAGTTTAAACAAGGGGGAGAGTCAGTGACTGACTTGCTCCTTGTTGCATGTGACATATTATTTCTTCAAGGAATTTTTTTTGTGTATCGCCTAAAGCCTTATGATGGTGACAGCATGTACGCATTGTAAAATAAGTTATGACATTAAAAGCAAGCCAGAGAATTGTCTGTCAAAGAAATTGCACATTCACTCTTTTCTTCCCTATGACCTATTATATATTTCCCATTGTGCTTTCCATTCAATGTCATTGCAGTGTTTTTCCTGCCAAGGAGCTACAAGAAATATAGGTGACTGTAACAAGATGGAACGTCTGATTAGCTACTTGGTGTATTGAAATAAAAACAGGTGGTCCTTACTTAACAACCACACATCAACCGGCCATTGAAACTTAATAACGGCACTGAAGGAGTGATATTGAAGACTGGTCCTTGTACTTAGGATAGTCGTCTGGTTGCCATTCGCAAATTTCTTTGCTGGCTTCCTACAAAAAAAAATCAATGGGGAAGCTGGCAGGAGGTCACAGATGGTGATCATGCGATTCCAAGAAGGATTCTCTTAACGGCAACTAGAATGCTAGAATTTCCCTCAACTAAAGCAATGTGGTCATGTGAATTCACACTTTATAATTGTGTCACTTAGTTATGAAAATTCTGGTCACAACTACTGCTGTTAAGTGAGGACTAACTGCATGGAGCTCCCATTACTTGTCCCAGCTTCTGCAAACCTAGCAGTTCGAAAGCATGTAAAAATACAAGTAGAAAAATAGGAACCACCTTTGGTGGGAAGGTAACATCTCTCCATGTGCCTTCGGCATTTAGTCCTGCCGGCCACATGACCACGGAAACGTCTTTGGACAGTGCTGGCTTTTCGGCTTTGAAACGGAAATGAGCACTGCCCCTTAGAGTCGGAAACGACTAGCATATATGTGCAAGGGGAACCTTTACCTTTTAACTGCATGGAGAAGTAGTATTTCTTATTTTTAACCCCTTCCTCACAGTTAGTTTGTTTGATCCTAATCCTCTCTCCCTACCTAAGCAATTTGAACTCTGATTGCCTTTCTTTCATTTCAAGGCCCAAGCCATTCTATTTTCCTACGTAACCACTGCCATTCCCACTTCTTTTTTCCTCTGTTGAAATAATCCATGGCATTGAGCATGGGTAACGGATGAAGTTTTAGAAAATTGCTACAGATGAAATCAAAAGTCTATGATCTTATATATGTATCCCTGGAAATAAAGCCCATGGGGCAAAAATGTAGACCTTTATTCTCCTCAGATGCAAAATAGTATTTGTTGTTTACATTTTGACATAACCCATGTTACAGGGAGGGTGAAAAAGATTGCTACCTTAACTCAGTTTTTTTTAAAAATGGCACAATAGATGAACTTGTAGATGTATTATTGATAGTCTTTCATTGAACAAGGCAGAAGAACCAGTTTTCTTAGGCACTGGCCTCTGCCAGCCCAATTACCTAAGATCTTTTAATTAGAAATGGATGTGTGAGATTAAATTTTATTTTTATGCTCAACCAACAGGTGTGTTGCCATTCATCTCTAGGTTTTCCTGAATATTCTTTGTGGGCAAATTTAATTCACATCCTTTTAAAACATAGCTGACATCTCTTATTCATGTGTAATATTGAATAGCTTTGTGTCAGGTCAA